GGGTAGCCTTTCCCTTCTCCAGGGGATCTTCCCAACNCTGTACAGTCCATGGAATTCTCCAGGCCAGAATACTGGAGTGGGTAGCCTTTCCCTTCTCCAGGGGATCTTCCCAACCCAGGGATCGAACCCAGGTCTCCCCATTGCAGGCAGATTCCTTATCAGCTAAGCCACAAGAGAAGCCCTGTCTTATCACTTCATATTAGAATGTGAGAACATGAAGCTTGTCTGTTTTATTCACCACCATATCCCCCTTATGTAGAACATGTCTACATAGGTGTCCAAGTAATATTTGATGAATGAAAGAATATCTCTTGATTTCCTATGATTTGCATTTGTTGCTGTTGTTCAGTCGCTCTGTCGTGTCTGACTCTTTGCGACTCTGTGGACTGCAGCATGCCAGGCTTCCCTATCCTTCACCATCTCTTGGAGCTTGCTCAAGCTCATGTCCATTGAGTTAGTGATGCCATCCAACCATCTCGTCCTCTGTTGTCCCCTTCTCCTGCCTTCAATCTTTCCCAGCATCGGGGTCTTTTTCAATGAGTCACCTCTTCGAATCAGCTGGCCAAAGTATTGGAGATTCAGCTTCAGCATCAGTGCTTCCAATGAACATTCAGGATTGATTTCCTTTAGGATTGACTGGTTTGAACTCCTTGCAGTCCAAGGGACTCTCAAGAGTCTTCTCCAACACCACAGTTCAAAAGCATCCATTCTTCACTGCTCAGCTTTCTTTACCAGCTCTCACATCCATACATGACTACTGGAAAAACCATAGCTTTACCTAGATGTACCTGTGACAGCAAAGTTATGTCTCTGCTTTTTAATATGCTGCCTAGGTTTGTCATAGCTTTTCTTACAAGAAGCAAGTGTCTTTTAATTTCATGGCTGCAGTCACCATCTGCAGTGATTTGGGAGCCCCCAAAATAAAGTCTATTATTGTTTCCATTGTTTCCCCATCTATTTGCCATGAAGTGATGGGACCAAATTTCATAATCTTAGTTTTTTGAATGTTGAGTTTTAAGTCAGGTTTTTCTCTCTCCTCTTTCACCTTCACTGAGAGGTTCTCAAGTTCTTCTTCACTGATTCGCATTCAGATGGTCCCAAACAAAAGTATGGCACAAGCAAAAAGTGCTGCAGTGGGAAAGAACCTGCCTGCCAAAGTAAGAGATGCAGATTTGATCCTTGGGTCAGAAAGATCCGCCAGGATAGGAAATGACAACCCACTCCAGTATTCTTGCCTGGGAAGTCCCATAGACGGAGGAGTCTGGCAGACTACAGTCCATGGGGTCAAAAAGAGTCAGACACGACTGAGGGACTGAGCATGCACACAAACAGAAGTATAGAACTGACATGTAAATAATCAGTTATATTTCTATTCTGCAAAAATACTGCAAAGAATTAAGAAATATGGTATAGCTCTGACAGAATGAAGATCTGAAGTTGTTTTTGCCACTTAAATGGTACTATGCTTAAGATTCAGTTTTTTCACCTGTTAAACAGGATTCATAAAAAACCCGCCTTGTCTGCTTATTCTGGAATTGTCTTCTACCTCAACTAGTTATCAGAACTTCTTTCTCAAGGGCTCCTGGGCTACCCTTGCTTCTGTTCTAGATGATATTAGCACATGAGGACAGAATGAGTTCCTTAGACAGCAAGGAGGTCAAACCAGTTAAACCTAAAGAACAACCTTGGATATTCCTTGAAAGGACTGATGCTGAAGCTGAAGCTCCAATTGGCCACCTGATTTGAAGAGCTGACTCACTGGAAAAGACCCTGATGCTGGGCAAGACTGAGGGCAAGAGGAAAAGGGGTGACAGAGGATGAGATGCCATCAGAGGGTTGGATGGCATCACCAACTTAATGGACATGAGTTTGAGCAAACTCCAGGAGATAGTGAAGGACAAGGAAGCCAGGCGTGCTGCAGTCCATGGGTTCACAGAGTCAGACAGGACTGAGAGACTGAACAGCAACAGTGCAGTGAAAGGACTTTACTTAACAGCAGTGCAAGAGCTTGATTTGATCGCAGTTTCAGGATAAGCCAACAGAGGGCATGACTACCAAAATGGGAATAAGTAAGCTTAGTTGCATCTGCTAATAGAATACTTAGAAAGGAAAGCCACAGGCTGGCCCTGGCTGGATCAGAACACATTTGGGGTGAAGTATCCTATTCTGGGGGAAAACACTGCTTTGCATAAGTTATAAGATCTTCTGGAAATACTATCATATAAAGAATGAATGAATTGGGGGGATATTTAGCATAAACAACAAAAAGGAAAATGACAAACTGTCCTCTACACTTCCCACCAGTTTTTTTTTTCCTCTCCTCCCCAGCAAGTGCAGTGGAGGAATTGTCTTTGCATGTGACTTAAGTAATCCTACCTACCCTCAGCCTGCATCACTTTCAAAAGCCCACTCCACTCCAGTTGCCAGCCCCAGTGTCTGACCCAGACTTCATGACCCCGTCTTTGGCTTTCCTCCTGCTGCTGGGCCCTTCTTCTGTCTCTGCTAGTCTACACACCCCTCACGGCTCAGGCCTGGCCGCTTCCCACTTGTACACTCAGAGTCAAGGGTACAGCATCCACACTCCCAAAGCTTTAAATCCCAATGATGTGCTGACAGTTCCCAGCTTAGTGCCTCCAACTGCCAACTCAATATTTGCATTTTAATGCATCAGAGCCTTATTAAAATTAATACAACCAAATCCAAAATTCTTGATCCAACCACCAAATCCCTTCAATTCATTTTCCTTTTAGTTTTCCTCTTCTGAGTAGATAGCACCTCCAGCTGACTAATTAGAAACCCACTAGGCATAATCTTGAAAATGCCTGATTGCTGACTGGTGACTGCCCAGCTGGAAAGGTGCTAGGATGCTAACCATACTGATGCTTATTCTGAATAATCTACCACCAAATCCTCTGGACTCTGCCTCCAAAATACTCCTCAAGTCTGCTTTCTTTTCATCTCCCTAGTGACCATCCTAATTCTATCCATCATCACTGGTTGCCTTTTACCTGGAATCCCCACTTACTCTTTTCTACATAATAGCCAGTTATTGTTTGAAATATAAAATGGATAATGACCCTCCCCTGCTTAAATCCTTTCAGTGGTCTCTCTTTGTACATGGAATAACATTAAGACTCCCTAATTATACAAGTGTCCTTCCCAGAATTACTCCTCTAATCCCATCTATATCATCCCCTCCTCCCCACATTCCACAGTTCTTTCTGCCTGGAGTCCCTCCCCTCACCCAACCACCCCCTGAAGCCAAACCAGTTGGCCTGGCATCAGCTTAAAAGTCACTTCCATTATACAACCCTTGATTACCTATGTTTAATTTTTCCTGTTTTCTTCTCTGTAGCACTCTGAATATTCCTCACAAATTGTCATGATATTAATACATATTTGTATGATTGTTAACAGTCTTTCCAACCAGCCCATCCTAAAGGAAATCAGTCCTGAATATTCATTGGAAGGACTGATGCTGAAGCTGAAACTCCAATACTTTGGCCACCTGATGCAAAGAACTGACTCATTGGAAAAGACCCTGATGCTGGGAAAGATTGAAGGCAGGACGAGAAGGGGATGACAGAGGATGAGATGGTTGGATGGCATCACTGACTCAATGAATATGAGTTTGAGTAAATTCTGAGAGTTGGTGATGAACAGGGAGGCCTGGCGTGCTGCAGTCCATGGGGTCGCAAAGAGTCGGACACGACTGAGTGACTAAACAGACTGAACAGTCTGTCCCACCCAATCACAGGATTCAGGAGGATAAGGATAGCTACTAAGTGTGAAGGTACCTGGCATACAGCAATTGCTTAATAAGCATTTTTGGAATGAATAAATGAATAAACCTAAAACCTTCTTAACACATGGGATTTGATTTTCTGAATTTCCACAGAACAGAGTGAGATTGGTTTGGGGTCTTTTTAAGAAGAAAAAAGTCTAGGAACTAAGGCAGTTACAGAATGGAAAGGCTCAGATGGTTAGGACATGAGTCCCCGCAAAGCAAGCACTCAAGTAGAGACTCAAACTGTATGGATTTAGGATATGGTGAAGGGGATTCCCATGTTGTAGTTGTTGTTTAGTCGCTAAGTCATGTCTGATTCTTTTGTGACCCTGTGGACGATAGACTGCCAGGCTCCTCTGTCCAGGGGATTCTCCAGGCAAGAATACTGCAGTGGGTTGCCATGCTCTCCTCCAGGGGATCTTTAGGACCCAGGGATCAAACCTGCATCTCTTACATCTTCTGCATTGGCAAGTGGGTTCTTTACCACTAGTGTCACCTGGAAAACCCATGTGGTGTGAGGCAAATCACCTGGTGAAAGAGTGCAGACCTGGTCTTGGACCCTCACCAGGAGATATGCCTCATCCCACATATAATGAACTAGAGTCTACACATGGAACCAGGAAGAGTGAAGGGCAGAGAGTCAAACAAGCAGCTAAAAGCAGAGCTGAACTTCACAGTGAGCGCTTAGCAACAGGAAGGAAAGATGCACCCTTCCCCCCCAGTACTACATGGATGAGGTTTGGGAAGTAGGAAATACACATTCTATGGATGCTCTAGGAAGAAAGCTTTCGAACTTTAATAAACTTTCAAGATCCCATATAAACTGTGAAACCGAAGTCATAGTTCTATTTGGGCAAAGGTTAAATATTTTATCTAGCTAGAAAATACAAAAACATTTGGCAGCACCATCTCACAGGGTGGTAAGACCTCTTGCTTGATCCCTACCCTGAAATAAAAGGGCCTTGGGACAACTGATAATATTAAATCCTAGGAGCAACTTAGGATCCCCCAGCTCCTGCCTATTTTTCAGAAGTGGAATACAAGGGGCTGGATAGGAAATGGGAAGGATTTTCACTGATAGTTTGGTCTTTTGCAGAGAAACAGAGATAAGCCCATCATCCCCAGAATGACTTGATAGCCCCAAGGCATCTGCATCAACAATCTTGGTCTTAAGAGTTGATTGGTCTCCCAGACTTGTAGAAGGAGATAATCTGATCTTGGAAAGGTATGCTCAGCTAGATACAAGTTTGAGGAGGCAGAGTCCTGGTCTGAGTCTTGGTTCAGCCCTGCTGTCTGAAGTACTCTTCACCCAGCAGCACCAGGGACCAGGTATGGAGGTAAGACTGGAAGAGGGCTTAATTTGTGTTTAACTTGTGAGGAAGGGGGAGGCAAGCAGGCTAAGGAAGTTTGCTCTTTTTGTTGTTGTTGTTGTTTAAAGTAAATCTTGAACTACTGGGTGCAAACTTCCATGGTGGGTTCCGAGGACAGCAAATGTGTTCCTCACCCTGCAACAAGCAGGCTGGCCAATGCTGTCACCTAGCGTCAGAGGCAGACACGGACATTCTAGGTGGAGAGGGGTGGGGGAATGGACAGGGATTCTGGGGTAAGGCAGAGAGGATTTGGGTCCTGAGCTGATGAGGTCTAAGGTCTGTGCAACCTGAAAGAGCCCTTGTGCCTGGAGTCCTTGGACCTGGCGAGGGCGAGCTCCAACTTGTAGGACCCACAACCTATGGTCTGGCCCTTTTACATCACTCAGGTCAGCAACCCTTCCCCTCATCCCTCAGGCTGCCAGGGGCCCGGAGGAGGCAGATGTTCTCTTTGCTCCCACTTACGCTTCACAGTCATTAACCTGGTTCAAAACCTGCAAGTCCTCTAAGTCTCTGTTTTTCCCCATTGTTGCACATGGTGCTGTGATAAGCATCCCAAGAGAGGCTCTTTAAGATGGAGAACTAGATAAGGAACTGCTGGGTGAGGGGGATACATGTATTAAATTAACAGAGTGTCCTCAGCGTCCATGTGGGTTCTCCAGCTTAGACTCACCAGATGCTTAATGGAAGCACTTTGTTTTCTCATATCTCCACAACCATGTTAGGGTCAAACATTCAGTAAATGTCTACCTGAGCAGAGGGAGGCCACTGACCCAAAGGAAGAGGAGGAGGAGGTCTCTTCCCCTGAGGAGAGGGAGACCATGGACTTGAGAGAAGAAAAGGAAGCTTCCCTACCTCGGGAGGGGCAGAATATTGATCTGGAGGAAGAGGAGGAAATCACTTCACCTGAGGAGGGGGAGACTTGTGAAAGGAAAGAAGAGAAGGAGGAAGTCATTCCACTTGAGGGCAAGATGTGTGAAATGAAGGATGGGGAAGAGGCCTTATCCTTTCAACTTATGGAACAAAGAGAGACCTGTGAATCCCTGGAAGAGGAAGAACCAATAAGCGTGTTTCCCCCTCCAAATGAATTCTCCCCTCACACGGTGTTTCCCCCTCCAACTGCCCCAACTCCTCACTCCGTGTTTCCCCCTCCAACTGCCCCAACCCCTCACTCCATGTTTCCCCCCCCAAATGAATTTCCCCCTCCCAGAGCATTTCTCCTTCAATATTTATTTCCTTAGATTTTTGTCTCCTCAAAACTTGACCTTAGGAAGGTTTCTGTTCTGATATACTCTCTCTTCATGCCTTACTTAGGTCCTTGTGGCATTTAGTAATTTTTTTGTTAAAAACAAAACTACATTCAATCAGAATTGTATGTTCTATATCAGAACCATGTATGTTGGTATATTTTCTAATTGAATAATAAAACACAAGTCTTTATTGCATAAACCCTAGGATAAGGACATTTGCTCAAAAACAGGTTTGGGGTGGACTATGTTTTGAAGAATTGAGAAGTGAAAAAATATGTTCCAGCTAAGTATTTACATTGCATCAAATGTACATCCAGGACATTACAATGTATAAAAGCTTGAGCTTCTTGCCTAGAACTTTCCTGACTTGCTGGTCTTGTAAAGGAATAAGATTGGCCTTTAGATTTGTTAGGACCCAAATCTTATAATGAGCTTCCCTGGTGGCTCAGTGGCAAAGGATCCTCCTGCAATGCAGGAAACACAGGTTTGATCCCTAGGTCGGGAAGATTCCCTGGAGTAGGAAAGGGCAACCCACTTTAGTATTCTTGCTTGGGAAATCCCATGGGCAGAGGAGCCTGGTAGACTGTAGTCCATGGGGTCACAAAAGAGTTAGGCATGGCTTAGCAATTAAACAACAACAAAATCTTGTAGTTCTAAATACAAACTCCACACTCATGCCCAACCTGCATCCTAGATCCACAGTACAAATACACTAGAGACAGAGAGAAAGACTGTCAATCAAGTTAAGGTGACCCCTGAGAAAGTCAGCATCTTAAGATGAGGGCACATTATAGAACAATCAAAATAAGCTTGCTTTGTCCCATGCCTGGCATTGTAACTTAATGGCCTAGAAAGCACATCTGATTAAAGCTTTTATTTATAATCTAGTGACACTGATTCTAGGAACATCAGAATACACTGATTTTAATGTATCTGTTTTAAAAATACGGTCTGAAGTGTCAAGTGTTTTAAGCTTGGAATCAAGTAAGAAGAAGCCAAATGACTTGGCCACATCACCATCTGATGGCACACATCTCAAATGCCCCCTAGAAAACCACCACATTTCTAGGATTTTAAGAGGAATTTTAGCATCCTCTGACTTCAAGACAATGTTATTATAACGAGAGTAATAAAGTGCATGTTCAGTTGCGTCTGCCGTGTGCGACTCTCTGTGAGTCCGTGGACTGTAGCTCTTCAGGCTCCTCTGCCCATGAGATTCCCCAGGCAGGAACACCGGAGTGCCATTCCTCTTCCAGGGGATCTTCCCCGCCCAGGGATCGAACCCACGTCTCTTAGGGCTCCTGCACTGGCAGGTGGGCTCTTTACCACTAGTGCCACCTGGGAAGCAATGACAGACAGAGAGCAATAAAGAATCACTTATTTAGCGCTTCCCTGGGAGCTCAGACAGTAAAGAATCTGCCTGCCCACGCAGCAGACCCCAGGACAATCCCTGGTTTGGGAAGATCCACTGGAGGAGGAAAAGGCAACCCACTCCAGTGTTCTTTCCTGGGGAATATCAAGGACAGAAGAGCCAGGAGGGCTACAGTCCATGGGGCTGCCAAGAGTCAGACATGACTGAGAGACTAACACTTTCACTTTCCACTTTATTTAATGCTTAACACTTATAATCCTCTATTTTTATTAAATGTTACAACTCATTTACTCCTCACAGCAATCTTGGAAGAAAGGAGCAATGATCCAGTTTCCTAGAGGAAGCTGAAGAGCACTAAAACCTATATGTCCTACAGAACTTACCTGAGGTCATCACTTCAACTTTGAAACTGTTAGCTCTTGGTCCTTATCCTGAAGTTTATCACACCCTTTCTGGCACCACTTGGCTTTCTACCCATAAGGAACCCTCACAGATAGCTGGTCTTAACCCTGGCTACATAATAAATCATGTGGGAAGCTTTAAAATATTCCAGTGTTCAAGCCACATCCCAGACCAATTAATTTCATGGAGTGAGACCCAGGAACTGATACTAGAGTCAGCGATTTGATTCGGCGATCAAGGTTAAGAACTATTCACTTGTACCTTTATAAAGAGGGGATGCTGGTGGGGTGAGATGGGTATTCCAGACATAGAGAAAAGAGCAGTGCAAATCTTTGCTCATCTCTAAAGGATGCACTGCTGCTGCTGCTGCTGCGAAGTCACTTCAGTCGTGTCCGACTCTGTGCAACCCCACAGACGGCAGCCCACCAGGCTCCCCCATCCCTGGGATTCTCCAGGCAAGAACACTGGAGTGCGTTGCCATTTCCTTCTCCAATGCATGAAAGTGAAAAGTGAAAGTAAAGTTGCTCAGTCATGTCCGACTCTTAGCAAGCTCATGGACTGCAGCCTACCAGGCTCCTCTGTCCATGGGATTTTCCAGGCAAGAGTACTGGAGTGGGGTGCCATTGCCTTCTCTGAAAGGATGCAGTACCCAGTGGGTTTCAGATTGCTCTCTGAACTAGAAGCATCAGCAACACCTGGTGGCTTGTTACAAAGGGAAATTCGTGGATCCACCTCAGTCCTACAGAATCAGACGCTTTGGGAGTGGGACCCAGCAATGCATCTGTTTAACAAGCCCTCCAGATGATTCTGGAGCATGTTGAGGTTTGAGAAGCACTTTTCTCAAATGTCAAAATCACTTCTTTATTCATTAGTAGAAAATGATTATCCTCAAAGGAAAGTCATCAGACTCAAATGCTCTGAAACACTCTTTACCCTCTTTTCAGAGATAACATCACCTCCACCTTTTTTTCTATGTCCTTTGCTCTCAACTACTCCCATGCATTCTACTGACTTGCTACCAACTTTGAAAGAGAAAAATCAATTATTTTAAAGATTGCCAGTGATTGATCTGACAGCTGCCTTCCCACAATTTTATTTACTTTTGTCTCATTGTAAGTGCGCTGTTCTTAAAATTCTTTTCTCCTTTAGAGTCTAGGACCTCAACTCCTGGTTCTTTTCTATTTTCTAGGATATTTTCTTTTGTGTGCACATGATTTAAAATTAAGTAATACAGTACATGATAAAAAATTCAACACTCTTATTCCCTAGAGACATACTGAATATTTCTCTTTTCAATTCTAGAGATATAAGCTAAGTAATACACTTTATAAGACTACTTTGAACTTTATCATCTTGATCACGTCTATAGACTACTTGATCACATCCATAGACTACTTATTCCAATGGATGAAAATTTAGCTTGCCAAAATCTTACACTTAGCTTTTATATTTTTAAGTTCTACTTGTTTTCTGTGTTTCTTTAGATGTATTAAATACTTAAACCTTTGTAGTTTTAACAATTTCCAACAATCTCAGTTCAACTTCAAAGATTTAACTCTCATATTTTCTTATGAACACATCTCAAACTGTCATGCTACTAATATTTCATGCATCATGATATTTCATTCTATTGGTTTTATTATGACTTAAAATGCTTACATAAATGTTGTTCATACTGAGCTGACTACTGCTGTATGTTTACATTTGTCTCCCCCTTTGGTACAAGTTTTTGTCCTCAAGGTTAATAATAATCTCATTTTGTTTAATTTTTTATATAATAATTCAGCCCCAAACTTTCCATCTGATCCTAAATTTCCAATTCAGTTAAATATACAAGGTAATCTATCTGTCCGTCTTTTTTCCCCTCTTTAATTCAAAGGCATCTCTCTTAGAGTCTTCTGGTCCCCCTACTCCAATTTGGGTAAATTGTTCTCTCTGCCTGCTGCATAGCTGTCCTGGGACTTCCCTGTTCCGCAGCATTGTATCCACTGGCTTCCCTCTCTCTTACATTCCTCTTTTGTTGGAGTATATCCTATAGTAATTTTCTCAGAAAGCGGAAGAGAGTCTGAAGTCAGGGGGATTAATAAGCGTGTGTCTGGGAGGTCCTTGAGGGCATCTTCCAGAACACACACCCACAAAAACTGATGTAAAACGGCCCAACTGCTGGTTAGGAGAGACATGCCATGCTCAAGATAATATAGACAAAACAGTGACTTCTCTTGGGAGACCTAGACTGAAAATGAAAACAGAAAAAAATAAGACACAGGATTAATTCAGAAGATCCAGCGTCCAACACTGAGGAACTGAAAAAAGAGAAACAGAAAGAGGAAAAAACAAGAAATGAAGTAAATTTAACTTACATTCCATTAATGAGTGAGCAAGTTAAATAAGAGAAGAAAAATACCTGTACACTACATTCTAAAACTTTCAAAGAGAAAAGCATAAGCTATTGGGTTGGCCAAGAAATTCCTTCTCCTGGTGTCCGTAGTTGTTACTGATTCCAAGTCTTTGTGTTTGTCTCTCCTGTTTCATTTATTCAACCAATAACTATGAAGTATAACGCATCACGCAGTGGAAATGTCAACCCCAAGAAGCTGTGCACAGCTATCTTTATCCCATTTCCAGCACTGAAGTCTCCCCAAGCTTTGGCACACTTCCTCTGTCTGCTGGATATCTCTACCTTGGGTGCCTCCAAATATAATGTTCTCTTCTTTCCCAACATACACTTCCTGTATTTCCTAGTTTAGTTACTGCTGTCCTAATCCACATTCTATACTTTAAAAGTCTGGATCCAGAGAAAGCCCCACAGGCTCCTGTAGTGACAAAAATCCCTGATATACTCTTTTTATCCTCCGTGTTCTCAAAGAAAGAGATAAAAACAAACAAAAATTTCCATAAGAGTCTGGGTTACCTGACTTTGTCCAAAAAAGGTTGTATGGTAATTCATAGACAAAAGCGCTAAACCAGGCAAAACCAGGCAAACTATACCTCCAAATATAGTTGAGAATATTTAAAATGACCCCTATATCCAAATCAATTCCCACTGACCAATTTTTATTTGACAATAAGATACCATCAGACTTTAAGGGCAGAAATAGCTGCTTCTTTACTATACCTAGCACTAGCAATTTAAACTATGGGAAGAAGCTTCCAGAAGTGTTGGTGGTCTCCTCCACTCTCTTCCCCTTCTCCACCCCGTGGAGATATTAGGTCTGCTGACCCAGACCTAATCCTCCCTGTGCCATCAGCAGTTGCTGATCTCTTCGCATGTGCACCAACAAGAAGTATTTTCTACAACATCAGACGCAATTATCTGACCGTCCTACTGCTTTGCCACCAGGCTGGCTCCTGATAATAAAAATAATCACCTACTGACAAGTCAGCTGTGATACTGCATTGCTGGTA